AATATCTGTGCAGTTCACAAACATGATTTTTTAAATCTCCACATCACCTGTGTGAAGTTAGGTGGTGCTATTAAGCCTGTGGAATTGAAGGATTAAAGCCAAACTGCCAAAAGTTTCTGCTAATTTTGGATACCCAATTTTAGATTTATGACCTCATTTTTTTCCATTTTGGTCATCATTTTATACCTTTAAAGCACAGCTCCCATTGACTTCATTTGCAGTTGTGAACACTAAGCAATTCTGTAAATCCTGGTCCGTATTTCCTACGTTATACACCCAGAGTTAGTGGCCACCTGTGAAAATTTAGATTGAAGTGATTTGTCTAGCATCACATGAGAATGCAGTGACAGAGATGAGATTAATTTTCTCCTGTGCCTCATCCTTTGCTACGACATGTTAGTTCTGTTACTGCAAAAAGGGAAGCAAGAATCTTACAAACAACAGCATTATTCCATATACAAACCAGAGTCTTTCCTGGAGCGCTGTCCATCTAGGGAACAGACAGAGGGGAAAATGAGTTTGTGATCACATAATTAAAGATTGTATCATAATCTATATGTACACAGGGGCAGTAGTATAGCTTGGGGGCAGCAACTGAGGCACCTGGCCTAGGTGTTAAATCATTGGGGGTGCCAGAATGGCATTCCCCAGGGAGTCCACACCATCACCACAGCCATGTTGCAGGAGTTTGTGCCTAGGTGGCAGTAGCCCATTCCACTGCTGATGCAGCACTTGCACAAATATTTGCTCCTCATCTCCCTCTCCTACTCCTCACAGAGTCACCCAAGGTACCAAAATTTAAAGTTTTACCTTCGCACAAGGTCCATAGTAATTCTACACAGACAAATATAAATTAGGACTTTTCAAACATCTAAGTGATTAATGCTTCATTTGTAATGTTCTCCTATATTTTTTAAATGTAGAAACTTAATTTGAACCCTAAAAAACCACCATTTCTATTTTGTGGAAACTATCAACATGCCAGTTGGCGTCATCAGCAAGTTTTGGCTTCTACATATCTAGAACACAAGTCTCTGGCACCTGAGCTAATGGTACCAGCAGAAGGCTCTTATTCTTTGTCTGAAGAAAATGAAAGACATATCTGAAAGACATAAAGTAGAGGGAAATGAAAGACATATTTTGCCCATGACTTTCATAAATATTAATTAATACCAGGGGAATGTAGAGACTCGGGACTCCTGTGTATAACTACAGATTTTGGGATTGGAGCATATTCTAGTGTCTAGAGACTTCTTGTGCACACAGCCTAATTCCTACTCTTTTGATCCTACTGCCTGTCCTCTCCTACCTTTCTACAGCTGCCCAGACTCCTTCTGCTCTCTTTTCCTTACCCTCTCCATTCTGCAGTTTTATATCTGCAGGTCTACTGATTCCTGCTTAACAACTTCTGTGTATCTGTTTGGGGCCCCTTATGCGCCATGTACAGGGGAGCTGGGGCTTGGAGCCAGGACCATCGAGTCAGGAGTGAGGGACACTGGGTCTGGACTGGCCATCGATGTTTACAAATGTGTCCTGGTCCAAAAAAGGTTGAGAACCACTGCTTTAGAACATGTATATTCTCAGGCTTCTGGGTGGGGGCTAAAGCCAGTTTTAGCAAGTTGGTGCTAAACCACTAAATTTGAACCTGGCCTTTGTTGTTGCTGTCCAGGACCTGGCAGAAGGGTTACATTTGCATTACATTAAAAATGTTTGCAGATTGTTAATAAAAAAAAAAATTCTTGGCATCCTTGCTCTTGACTCTCCATAGGCCAGTAAGGGTAAAGGTTTCTCTGTTGTCGATTCCTTTACCACAGATGGAACCATCTCAGTACAAATGGCTTTGGAGAATTTGCAAATGGCTGCAAAATTATAAAGACCTTCTGTTCATAAGATCTGTGGATTTGAATTAATTTATAGCATGCCCCTGATAAAAAGGCCAAATTTCAGGATTTTTAAAAAAATATGGACTAGTCTTGCTTTCTGAAACAGCTAAGTTAGTTTAGCTGACAGTTTAAAAAAAAAAAAAGCCTGAGATGTACTCCTAGCATGGATAATTTGAGCCTGAATTACTAGAGGTTTTAGAAGTTGTAACCAACTTAAAACAATCTTACATATAAAACTGTTGGGCAACTTTAAAAGGGAAGTATAAGCTCTATATGCAGCTTATTATGGCCATAAGGATAAAATTAAAATAAATAATCTATGCTCCATTGCCATTGGGTAGTTTTTACTGGCCAAAGTATTTTTCTTTGCTTGATAACCAGAGGTGAGCAGAAGCCAGGTATAGAGGCTTTGCATTGTTCCTAAGCAAAGGTTCTTTATAAAAAATGTTTATTCTGGTTTTCAGTGCTGGCGAGATTACATTGCAATTGCACATCGATACAAAAGCTAACAAATTTAAGTCATCACTTTCCTACCCAACAGACCAAATTAAAATAGATTTTTTTAGTCTCGAAAATCCTACTCCTCATCCTCTGTTATGCACCCAGAAACCTGAGAGAGTACAAATTTCATTTCAAAAGTCAGCAGATCCAGGATGATTTCAGATCAAGGTAGATAAGCTTCATGGGTTCCAGAACTTCTTGAAGTTAGAAAGTCTGGGCACTGACCAGCTGATGAGTTCAGAGAGCTCATGGGATATGTAGAGCTCCAAGAAGGAGCTACACTGACACACCAATTAGCGCAGAGAGCTCACGGCCTAGGTGGCGTACATCTGAAGTGGGGTGTGGCTGCACCACAGCACCACCTCTGGATCCACCCCTGGAGATCTAGGGTTGTTAGTACATAAGGGACATCTCTGTCCAATATCCCCATATTAATCTTCCCTATGCTTTTAAATACATATCGAAGAAGAATGGAAACTATGAAATCTGGAATGACACATGAGGTTCTTTCTCAGCCATTTTGGAAAATACTTATTCATAATTAACACCATCTCGATTTCCTAAGTACTACTTAAAAAGGGACATTTATATTTATGTTTAAAATCCAAGCAGTGTAGACAACCCACATACTGAGACAAGGTTTTGGCAAGATTGTCCTTCTCAGAAAGAGCAGCCTAAAAGGTTGAAGAAAACTTGTGACTAATGCATAAAATATTTAGACCATTGATACCATATAAATAATACTCTTGCAGGTTCAGTTGTTAGGGGAGGTGTTTTTTTTTATTATTATAGTTTATGCAGAAGACCTTTTGACAAGGTCTGGGGAGGCTAGGTGAAATTAGGCATTTCTTTGAGTAAGAATATCAAATTAGGCATTCTTTGATTTCATTTTGCCTACATGAAATGACTGCTAAATAAGCATGATGCCTAAAGGTCTAGGTATTAAATTAGCATACAGCAAGACAGTTTAAGCTGTGTAGCAATTTATATGCTCTCTACCTTAATGTATTAAGAACTGAAGTTTAATTAACAAGTTATTCTGCTGAAAGCCTAAGTATTCTTTAATTAGATAAATTTAAGATTATAAGCATCTCATTTAACTAATATATGATACTGTCCTATGTGGGCACTAGTGTATTGCATTAAAATACACATTGTAGATCCAATTAAATAGGACTGATCTTGGGGTACATGCAGATGTTACATTTAGATCAATCTAAGTAAGGTTAAATCGGTGGCAGTTTGTGCAGATGTTCAGGGAGGTTAAATAGGCCAAAAAATGGTGAACAGTCTAATTAGTTCACCCGAGGAGCAGGTTATCCTGATATGCCAAAAGTTTGTACACATTCATAACACAGACTCAGGACTGGGAAAGACCTGGTGCTCACCCCAGCCCTGGGGCTGTACTTTTCCTACTCCCCAAAACCTGATCGGTCTCTAGCGTCCGCCAAATCCCAGTGCTGACCTACTCCCTGCCAATCCGTCCCGCCCCCTCTCTCCACCCTGATATACCCAGATCAGGTTCCCAGCATGGCTCCCAGCATTGGCAAACATGTGCACAAGCCACTCCTAATCTACGATCACGTGGCTTAAAGCCACATGATTGTAGATCAGGTGCAGCAAATGTCTGCACATACCTTGGTGATTTATTTCTTAATGTGAAGCTTAGCAGTAGCTGGCAGAGCCTCTGTCTGTATACTAGGAGGAATCTTAGTGTCTTTGTGTCTGAGTAGAGCAATGTTCTATTTTGTAACGATAAACTGGAAAATTTACAGTAATGCCCAGAATGACATTTGCATGATACAATGAATGCGTCAAGAGTCTTTGCTACAACTATGTATAATCCCTACAGTAGTTTTTACAACTGCAATAAGTGACCCTGAGGATTTCAATATATTCAGTACTTTTCCAGGTTGGTCTTTGTTTGATTATTTATTATGCTATGAAAAGACTTAATTGAGCTATAATTCCAGAGAAAATGTTTTCCTCAGCTTGTAACTGATGAAGTACTGCATTGTTTGTTACACAGCCTATATTGGTTACAGCAATTCAGCAAATTTAATTGGAGTTCAATTGCTGAGTATATTGCAAGTAAAACTTTCAACAGCACCTCAAAATTTAGGAGCAATAGTCCCCTTTTCAAAAATAACCTAAGCAAATAGGAGCCTAAGTCCAACTGACTTTCAGTAACTCCATATTTTTTTTAAACTTTTATCTGATGTTCTTAATAATGTATCTTGTTGCAAAAAGTTTCCCTAAGTAATTCCAAAAAAAGCATTTGTATACATTTGTAATTGTATTGTCTATACACAGACAGCCTTTTAGTTTAATCTTTAGTTAAGGACTTGGTTAATATAGTCTTCTCATCTTGCAGTTCTGTGCATATCTGACAGAGCAAGAGATTGCTTAACTTCTTTCTACATTTTAGACCATTGGTTATTTTCCCCCAAGGAAAGTGATTTAGATTTCAATGAAAAAAGACCATTAGGTTTCTTTTTGAATAGGTTTATACCTGAAGAGTAAGCAAATTGGTTTTCACCTAAAGAGAATAAAAGATTGGCATATCATTATTCTATAACCTTTTACTCAATCTTATTCTTCTTATTTTCTCAATAGCAAATTATACACTTTGTGACTTTGAGTCTGATTTCTGTGGATGGAAGCCATTAAGCACAGAGGATATGGAATGGAACAGAGTAAAAGGACAGACTTCCAGTGATGTGAGTCTTCCTAACAGAGACCATACAACTAATGATGAACATGGTGAGGGGATTTTTTTGTGTTTTTTTTTATCGTCCTAAGGTGGCATCTTAATACTTGTGAAGGATGCCAGACTGACAACAAAGCCAATGTAAACACTTTGCCTATTTATTCCTATACTGGACCTCAGAGGAATCACTGCCATTTTGTTTCTATGTCTATATAACCAATAGTTTTTCTTTGGAACAACCAAAGAAGTCCTAATCAATGCTAGCTGTAATGTTGATTTTAGTTTTTGAATTCCTGCCCAGTGAACTGAGACCGCCAACTCCTTCTCGGTATACGATAAGCACCATTGTCTCACACATTCATAAAAGAGCCCATTCTTTTAGTTATTACTCAGGCATTGTTTCCAATGAAGCTAGGATTTAGTCCAAAATAAATAATTTAAGCAATTCTCTTGTTTATATAGCTTAGACAAATTAATTACTTTTTCTTGGGACAGGCAGAGCATGGGCAAATCCCTGGAACTGCTATTCCTTATGAGCCTGTAACTATCTTGGTCTCATTACTGTTGTATAGTGTGTTCAACTGGGAAAGTTGATTTTAGCAAGGAGTGCATGTTATAAATGTTTGCAGAAGTAAAATGCAAGTACAATATAGTGTACACTACTGAAAAAGTCCAATATGATAACCTTACAGTGTTAGAAGTTCATGTTGTACTTTTATTAAGAGATATTTATTATGCTGTTCCTGAGGAGATCAAATTAATTTAAAACAGGGCCAACTTCAGGGTATGCTCAGAGGTCCATTTGGAATAAAGCTTTTTTCCACAGCCATTGGAATTATTACATACGCATACAGATATAGATATATGTACACTACATACACAAAATCTACTTTGAAATGGTGTTAATGGTGTGATGTAAAAAAAAAAAAAAAAAAAGAAATTCTAGGATTAAATTTGGCCTGTGAACCTTTAATTATGTTCTCTTGTGTATACCTTATAATAGTCTTTAATTACATGATGATGCATGCTATTTTCCACAGGCCACCTGCCTCATTAGATTCACAGGATTAGATGGCGCTCATAAGTAGTTATTCAATATGTCATCTTATTCATAATGACTGGCCCTAGGTCTTATTTACTGCTTAGTATTCAAACACTGTTCTAACCACAGAATTAAGAGGCACAAAACAGAATTTGCAGCTCAAGAAGGATGCTAAGGTAGTGTGAAGTAACTCTTTCACCCTCCCAATCCTAGGCTCCTCCAGGGGCTGGTCTGAGGGGACTGGTTAAGGGTATGTCTATACTGTGGACCTGAGCTAGTTCACTTGGGTATTTGAAGCAGTCCAGCTATGGCAGCATATTACTCAGTGCAGGCTAATTTAGCCTGCTGAGAAGAAGCTCTTTTAAAATTAGTTTGGGTATCTCTATACTATATTCTAGTTTCCAGTTTACAACAACCTTGCTAGAGTACCATATGGGCCAAGTGCTGCCTGGTTTGTTTGGGGCTTTTTGTTTTGTTTGATTTTTCTTTGTTTAGTTTTTTTAATTGTTTCTGCAATAAAGTGGTCCTGTCCCCAATGCAGCCCTAGTAGCAGTGACAACTCCCCCCTCAACAGTTGTTTATGAAGAGTTTCTAGAGAAACAGCCTTATGGTTGACCTTTGCCATTACAGTCCTATACCAGGGAGATCTTGCCCTGATCAAACACAAGATAAGACTTTTAACACCCCTTTAGTCACTATGATAAGCACTGTACTTTAGTCACTGATAAGCAGTGTAAAGGGGCTGGAGCAGGAATGAGATCTTT